TAACTTACTTCTCCAGGACAATACATGGTCTCATATACAATGCTTTAAAGCTCTTTATGGAGATGAATCAAAAGCTCTTTGATGAATGTACACAAAAATATAAACAAGAAAGACAGAGGTATGGCTATTTGCAGAAGTAAACATCTAACCATTTAAAAATTACAAATTATATTTATAGTTATTTTGACTTGAACACAATGGATCGATGTGTGAAGCATTTAACTCTTTCAAATAAACACTAATTCCAATTTTTTGCTTCTGATAGAAAATACATCAACTGATGCACTTTACTGAACTCTGAGTTAGGCTAGTTCTTTACTTAGACACTTCTGTTTATGTAGTTTGTCGGCACAAACTGCTTAGAATGAACTAGACCAAATAAATTTATTATGATGGTATTTGAGCCAAATATGTTCTTTCCTTGGAAGTGAGAATTAACCTTTTATGCTCCAACATCAGTATAGATATCCCCTATACTGTTATCCAGGTATTTCCTAAGGTACTTGCAGAGAGAATTTATTGAACCATCAATAGCTTCTTTAGGTGGTGATCATTTCCTTTATTCTTGTGACCTGAATGTATGACTCAGGGGTAATATGTTATGGAGAAATTAGATGTTAGTCATTCTTAGGAGTCAAAAAGTTAATTTGTGACGTTTCAGTTAATAAGTACTTAATAGGGTTTCTGGTTATCACTCTCAGGGAAAAAGAGGATCTCAAAAAGAGAGAGGAAGCATGGCTAAAAATTGATGAACTAGCTCGGAAAAACCCTGATGTAAGTATAATTATGTTGAGAAACTTTTTAAAATGAATTGAAGGCTTTGAACTTTGGCTTTGAAAGTTAATCCTTTAACTCTCAGATTAAATTATAATTCTCCTTACTGTCAACCATACAATTCTCACAATGTTAGTTCAGAGAATTTAGTATTGGATCAACTAATTCCCAAATTGATATTTTTCTTTATTCTTGACACTTAACTGGTTGATTTTGTATTGATATTGTAAGGGGAAATTCTGTCTTGGTCACTCATGGGAGTTAAAGGGTTAAGCTAGACAGAATCACTGCATTCTTAAATTTGGAATCAGTGAACATTGAAGGCTTGTTGTGAGTACTTTGTTAATTCCTATTAATTGGTGGAGTAGTGGAAATCTTTGAGAATCAGTCATGGGGATGGTCAAACAATGTTCTTGATGAAAATTAAAATCAGCTTTTAGCCTAACAGTGGGCTTTCGGTTCACTATATACACCAATTTTTTTGTTTGTTTTTTTTTGTACACTTTTGTCATGTGTATCTTTGATTTTTTTTATAGCTGGTAGAACTCTTGATATATACACACACAAAACAAATGCATTTCTACAGTCCATAGATGAACTGTAGTAAAATCTGACCATTATCTGTATTGGGGCTTAATAGGTTTTTTTTTATACTTAAGGATGTGACATCTTTATTTTGTTGCAGTATGTCAAGATTGCCCGTCTAGCTGGTGTTGATGATGAGAGAGATAGGGAGCTTATGGACCAGGGTTGTGAGATGGAAGGGGTAGAAGATGGAGTGGTTGTTCTTCAAGGAGTCTCGAAAACAGTAGGCTGTTTGCTATTTTCCTGTGGAGTTTAATTCATCCCCTAAAGGAGAAATATGCTTTGAAAACTATATAATTTTTATCTCTGCTATTAAAAAGTCTAAAATTAAATTTTGCTATTTATTGCAAAAAGTCAAGGATTCTCTCTCATAGTTTGCTGCTACCCATTTACACTCCTTGGAAGAGAGAGGGGTGCATTAAGTGTTTGCTCAAAAACCCAACACAGTTGTTGGGCTAGGACTTTTATGCAACCTTACCTAACCATAGTCTTATGTGCTTACCACATGGCCAGCATGTCAGAACTTTAAATATTTTGTCATCTAGTGGAAGAGTGTTTTCTTATTCTTTTCTTTCTATTTTTCTTTTTTCAAGGAATTTTCATCAAAGAAACCAGAGAACAAAAAGTTTGTACGGCGGAAATCTGAGCTTCCTCATGACTCATGTACTGTGAGGGCACTGTCAGACTATAATAGTCCAGATGAATACTTGGCCACAGCAGCAGAGGGGTAAAATTTGTCCATTTGTCTTCCCTCTTCCTCTTTCCCTTCCCCCCCTTCTCTCCCCTCCCCCCCTCCCATCTGGGTGTGGCACAATAGAACTCTTCTTAGTGGTTCAGAGTCACTTACAGTGACTGATTTACGGTTACACTAAAAAATGTGTTGTTATGTGTTTTAAGGTGAAATGTATATAATAACATGGAATTCAGGTATTAGTAAAATTGTGAAAAATTCACTTCTCAGAAAACTACTTTGTGGAAAGAAGAATGCTACAAGTTGAGAAATCATTTCTCATAGTAGTGGGCTGGTCTGCAAACTGACAGCTTGAAATGAGTTTCTCTAAATATTCAACTACACAGGAAATTTGTTTCAGCAACCTTAAGAAGCACCTTTTATTTGTTAATCCCACAAAGTTTCTTGTTTTAGGGTCACTTTTTGGTCAAGAAAATTAATAATGGTAGTGGGAGGTAGTGAAGTCCAATTTGGTCTGTAATTGTATGAGTGATTAACAAAATGGTATGACTGTGAAGCAGACGTCTGATTTGTCAGTCATGAGCATGATTACAGACAGAATTGAACAACACTAAGTCCAGTTGTCAATTTATCATAACCATTACAATTTCAAAAAAAAAACAACAACAACAAATACATTTAGGACAGACATCTCTGGGAGGGACAATGTCTAGTGAGTAAAATAGGTCTATTTTGGAAATTCCCCAGTTTTTTTTCGGGATAAGTGGTTGTTGCTATGGTTATTGTGATCAGTTCTGTGATTGGTGGATTTAGCTGAGTGGACTTACAGTGATTGGCTGCTTTAACTGTCTAATTACAGGTGTCCAATTACAGCCAACTGTCCGATTACACTGTCTGATCACAACTGTACAGAATGATTGGTGAAAAATAAAGCAGCAAATGCACCAATCACATTTGAGGAAATTGTAATGGTTGTAATTAAGTGTGAAATTTGGAAAAAAAGAAAAACCCAGACATTTGCATGGTTTGGTGAAAAACTATCCCCATTTGTATCAAGGATTTTATGTACAACTAATTCTAATTGCAGCATGTCATCTCCCCTGTAATATGGCAAATGCTTTAGTAAGTCAGGGGTGGGAAGGGAGCTTATCAAATCCTGGGACCTTCAGAGAGGTGGGTTTTTGGAGAGGGGGGTCCTTTTAGATGTGCAAGTTTTTCCAATGAAGAGGCTTATTTGAGAAGGGACTAGTGAGAGGGGGAAGGGGGATTTGGATAGATAGATCTTGATGAAAACCCACCAAACACTCAAGTGAAAATCTTAAATTTTCATCTGAACTGTTGCTCAGATTTAATGAATATTGTGTTCAGAATGCATTTCTTTGACCTGTGATATTTTGACTGGAGCCTTCAGAGGCCTTTGAATTTAAGTATAGTTTGTGCTGAAATGCTACATAGCCCAAACAAATGGCAATGACTCCACTATTTTCTATTTTGTCAAATAGAAGGGAGGGGGTTACTTTTTAGAGCATTCACTAAGTTAGTTTCCTGTCACAGTTTGGTGACTGTGTCCTTGTGCAACTGTTTCCTCTTGGAGAGAGTTACAAGTGACAATTGTTATTTATTATTTTTATTAGCAAAATAATAACCAAAAGTTAAGATATTATTTTACCATATGTAGATGACTTATTATTTTGAAGATAGCTGTACTTGAAACCAGCCTAACTGTAAAAGCTTTATTAATCCATCTCTTCACTTCTCTTTTTAAAGATATATTTATTTCAGATTGACCATACTTTGTGGTAATTCAAGTCTTTCTGACAAGCAGACAAGCATTATTATATGAGAAGTGTCTTTTTGGCTGTATGGCCAATTTTAGCAAACAGTAGAGCTTGTGGAGGGTTACGATCTCAAAGGAACACCTCTTTTTAGTGAACTTAGTAAAGCTTTTTCAGTTAAGTTGGTTAACCATTTGTTATCAGGTTGCAAGTCTGAAATTTTTTATATGCTATGTTTTTAAACAATGTTTACTGATCAGTAAGGGTTTTTATCAACTCTCTTCCTCCCTCGTTTGACAAAAGAGGAATTTCACTTGACGAGAAAAAGAGTGAGACCAATTCAGAAATCTTTTTCACCTTACTCAGAGCTCATTTGTAAGAAGTGAGCAACGCAATGCTGAGAATTGCTTTTCACATTTTGTGAGTGATAGGGTTAAGGGAGCTATGAGCTTAATTTTGAGTCGTTTTTGTTGAACGTGCTAATTTACCTTCAGAGTGATGTAAGATATTAAAATGTAAGCATGGCAAGATGGAAACACCAAAATGAAGAGATTCAGCTTTAAAAGGGATCAGGTTGACAAGGGTGGAGAGGAATTTGGGCGATAGTTCTTTTAACAAAGCTTCGGAAAAATCTGTTTAAATCTGTTTAGCTGTCAGTTTTATTTGATAAAATGCCAAGAAAATGAGTTGCAAAATCTGCTTGGCCGTTAAATACGGATAGGATAGGAATTTCCATCACAGCTTATGCACCTTGGAATGCCCCATGTTTGTCATTTCAATCTGAGACAGTCATCTTGATTTGCAGGCATTTTTGTTGCTTTTTTTGTTCTGTGCTACCTTATTCGTATTTTTCTGTTTTAAACAACTGATATTTTTTGGTTCCGTATTAAATGAAGGTAGTTTTTCATCACCAATAAAAAAGGGAACGCGACTATAATTATTCCTACAAGGCTTCTGTACGACACGATGTGTCCAACGGAATGGGTGGGGTCGGTGGTGACGTTTTTGGGGGGCGGGGGGGTTGTAGGCGTGTTATGAGCTAGTTTAAAGCATTCATAGTAACATTCACTCTACCCGTTCGCGGCTTTTAAAACGTTGGTGCTTATGATCTGTAATGTCTTGTAAATACAGTAGAGGTTGTCGGGAACATCTATTGTCACGTAGTGATGGGGTTTTTAATGAGTTCTGCGATGGCGCATGGGAAAAGAAAGAGAAAAAAAGAAAGTCGTTCATAATGATATTGATATAAGGATTTAACATGCCTCGTGATAGATAGGTATATGGAAGTTGTAGTAAAATGTTGTTGAAACTTGAGTCTCGTGTTGTCGTCTTCAGTTTGTTATAAATACAATTTACAGTGAATGGGTTGAACCCTACGCTAATATGTGTTATTGTTTTATGCCCAGACTTTCACTCAACAGAGCGAGCACTATGATTGGTTGATTCTTAATCTCTTGCCCCTGATCAAATTCAAATGTTTCCCGATCGGGAGCTTTGAGTAACAGGCAATGTTCAAGGACAAACATACCAGCATATTTTTGCGTAAAATAGGGGCTATTGTGTTTGTTCCCTTTCAAATATTTTGCAATGCGCGTGAAAAATGTTTATGAAGAGCTTACTGTATGCAGCGTGAGGTGTTTTCACTGGTACAAACTTTATGAACAATAAAATGTCCCTTCTTTTGTGATAACAAATTTTAAGCGAAGACTTCTCGTAGTGGACGTAAGGTTTGAAATGGGGAATATCACTCGGGTGATACTCTCGGATATCACCCAGTTTTAGCAGGGGAATATTCTGCCTCGTGCTGTGTTTAGACCATCCGCGCGCGAGCTAAAATATTTGATGGATGATAGAAATAGAGGCTTGGAGAGCACTTTCTAGCATGTGTTAATTTGATGCGAGTCACTTCATGTACCTGTACATGACAGGAATCAGATTGTGTAAAGATGGCGGATGCTTTCGAAATAAAATTGAACTCGAAGGAAGTGTGTTTTGTGGACTGCCACGCGCATATATCAGCGAAAGAATTTAGTGAGGTAATCTAAATACTTTTGTCGGATATGCTTTCGGTACTAAAAGGGATGCTTTTTCTCCACGTGCAATATCAAAGTGGATTATACTTCGTCCACCGTAGACATACAATTAAATGTTTCGATAGCTGACAGATTTTCTCACAGCATCATTCTTGATTATCCGTAAAAATCTTGAATAAAGAAGACATAGGTGAAAATTATAGATTGTCCTTTGGACTGTGGTTTTGATTTACAATTGTATGGGGCTGTGCCAGGAAATCTTCCCTAGAGTCACCACTCATTGACTTCAAGACATTGGACACTCGATTAGATTTAATCAGTGGCTTTGACGGCACATGAAGGCTAAACGAATCGTTCGTGTTAAGCTTTGGTAATACTAACTTGTATGTCACGCTGTTCAGATTGTGCACGTTGTAAAGAATGGGCATTGAGTCGATTTTTGAAAAGCTTTGTCCGAAAAATTGTTGTTGTTTATTTTTTATACCGAAGGATGTAGATGTGGTGATTGACGAAGCAAAACAGGTATGCCATCAGCGTGAAGCATAACCCTTAAAGTCTTTTTGAAAAAAATTTGTACATACCAAATGACTATTATTCTTGCTTGATACCACCTTGTCGATTATTTTCCAGTATGTTTATGATGTAAAGTTTACTGGTAGTTGTGAAGATACTATGAAATTAATTCACCTTTGAATTTATAGCTATTAATAACTGTAACAGACTAAGTCCAATTCGGTTTGTAGTCATACGAGTGATTAACAAAATCCAACCA